AGCGAAGGAGACTGCGACACACCTGAGGAAGTCATTCCACGCGGGTCAAAGATCGTCCTCCCGCAGTGCGTGGTCTGAAACAGACCGCGATTCGGAGACAGCCCGTTGATGAGAGCAGCTGTTGGGGAGAGACGGCTGATGGTGTGATGGAGGTCACGTCTGAGGTTGTCCATGTGTCCAGTGGTGCGAACCATTTCAAGTTTCCTGTCTTCTCGAAGCTCAAATCTGTTAATGATATAATTACTATCTTTAAAGATTTTGATTTTAAAATACCCTCTATATAACAGTAAGGCACGAGTCATTTGATTCGTTTTAGTCTGGACTCAATGACGTTAAGCTTGTATCTGTTTTTATTTCAATTATAATGAAAAGTTGAACTGAAATGACAATAAGTTAACTCTACGTCATCAATGATGAAAATGTCTAAATATATATGTGGAAATATGACAATATGAATATATCTATATAGATATTGCAATATGAACCTGTCTAAGGAGACATAGTAACAGAATCACAACTATAAAAAGTATTGCGGAAAACATATGATTTAAAAACAATAGGAAAGTGTTTAAAATGTGTATTTCTTCAGTAGGTAGGCTGTCAAATAAGTTTTGATTAAGTCTGTACTATATGATCCTGGTCAGATTATTGATACTTCTTAGACATGTGGTCATTCAGTCAAGGTGAGAGGAAGGGTAAAGTATTTTTTTTTATTCAGCTTGTACAAAAACTTAAAACAACAACTATTGTGTGACACCAGTTATCGAGTGAGAAGGCAAAGACCAAACACCTATATTATCACTTTGTCTTCTAACTGACGATACCAACGTTTATTTGACCCCATTCAATTAAAATGTATTTTTGGTTTTATAAATTTCAATTTGTGTTATATATATTCCTCTTTAATTATATACCTAATAAAACATTTCCTGATAACATACAAGAAAGTCATTGAAGTTTAATCATAACAGGGTAGAGAAACAGAAATGAACAAAATGAAGAATTGCTTTGGAACGTGGAAAATAATTACGGATAGAAAGAGTTAAGATCATCGTCAAACAAGAAAACGTAAGGATCACTTTCAAAATGTTCTATACACTGTAGGCAGTAAAGTTACTTTCAGACCTTGCGATCTATGGGGCAGATGAATCAAATATTACCTTAGGCTTGAAATATCCTGTTTAATTTCTAACAAGTCGTCTTCATTGACACCATCTTGTCTTGACTGCTTCTTGGTTTGGTGAATGTACCGACATATAAGTTTCCTCATAACTTCCTGACAACAACAAAAAACCAACTTTATATAGATTGTTACGAAACAAGATTAGAACTACAATGACAGCATACAGAGATCGTCTTTGCATATGGATAAATCAAACAATAGTTACCTTACTGAAAAAGTAAGACAGTCTTAATCTAAATAAAAACCTACAGATCTTAAACTGTCTCTTTACTACTAAAACCTGAAATAGTTCGCAGGACACCCAGTCATAGAGACTCTATTAACCTACCTGATATTGTTGCGTACTGTCCAGCGGAGTGTCCACGTGGTCCTGGTCAAGTTGAGGTAAACTGACCATCCCATTATAAGTTGGCCTCTAGAGATAAAGCATAAAACATTTATACAGGCAAACGTTTTCATGAAGATGATCAAGAGGCGTTACGTATCATCCACAAGTCTAGTCCTCGGTGCCATCCACAAATGAGGTCTTTAATGTCACACAAGTACAAGATTTTTTTTTATCCTATATTAATTAGGGTTCCGTCGTGCAAAATGTCACATAAAGTGAAGTCTCTGGTATTATAGCCTACACTAATGTTATACGCAAACAATTTTTGGTGACTTGATGGTTATCCTACTCTTGGAAGTAAGACTTTACATCTGGACAACACTGTACAACAAAACACACGTATAATTAACACTAACCGCTTGACATACGCCTTTTGGAGGCTATTGGTAAGTCAAAGCCATGAAAAAAAAACAGAAAGGATTGCATAAAGGAATTGAAAAAATAAAAGAATTATCTCTGGCATCCTTACAAGTTTTAAGAGTTCAAATTTCCATTCGGTTGGAGGCTTTAAGAAACTAAAATGTAAAACAATTAATAAAAGAAACAAATAATTGCTGCCGATAAAAAATCAGCAAAATTTTCTGGTTTTAACACTTGGTAGATAAATTGTGTAGCTTTATTCATGGAATAAAATAATCATTGCTATATTTACATTTAGGCAACATAAGCTATACCTGAAGCCCACCCTTCTTGTCACCCCCCCCCCCCCTTAAATATGATTTTTAAGTGAAAGCAAAATAGTAAATTGCATTCGGCTGATAACAAGGGGCCCATATCTCGAATAGTAAAGTAATAAAAAAAAGTAAAATTCCCACTTCAGACCCTGTGATTTATAGGGCAGATGATGTTAAATCCGGTCCTAAAAATAATTCATTTATTCAGACACTGACGGTCGCAATCAGAGAAATTTCCTAGTATGCCCCACTGCG